TCCACCAATTTTTTAAAATTAAACACTATCTAAAGATTTGCATCGAAGCGTTTTTTTTTGATAGTGATTTTAATCACTGTCAGATATCATTATACTTGATCCATCTATACCACGTCATCACTGTGCCGTAACCCCCCTGTGCTGGGTTTTTTCTTAAATTACTACTGAAAAATTTATGTTGATTCACGCATTATTGAGATAAAGGAATTTTAAAAAAAATAATTAGACTAACCAAAATATACATGATTTTCGATCCAACCAATTATTTATAAATGAAAAATCTCTGGAAAATTTTTTTTTAACCGTATTGTAAATAAAAAAAAACTTAAATTTAAATTAATTTTCAACAGTGCTATTCAAAATACTAAAAAAGCTGGCCATATTTATTGAAAATTATATTATTTTCTTCTTTGTTTGATAATAACTCTTAGAAATAAATTTGTCATCAAAGTTAAAAAAAATTCTGGTTGAGTCACTGGTATGGAAATCGCCACTTTTTTTAGTTTAACTTTTGTTTTGGACGGGGAATCTGTGATCCCTGCCCAAATACGTCACTGAAATTTAACTCTTCGAGAAAGATAGAGATATGAACAATAATATGTTAATTTTAAAGACCGTTATAGGAAATATGACTGTTTTGTAATTATACACCTTTGGAAATCTGTTACGTACATTACATTTTAAATTAATTAAATGATGAATTGAGATTCCAACTGAAAATAAAGACTGATGTACTCAAAAATCTTTCTCAGGATGAACTATATATAAGGATTGATGTAAATAACGCATATTATCTTGAATTTAATTTCATAAAACTTTAAATAAACATTAATTTTAAATGAATATTGATGTTTTTATCTAAAATTTTTAACTAATTGCCTATTTTATTAATATTCTGTTAAATTCAAAAATAAATGTTATTAATTGTTTTTCAATATTTACAGGGGATGTGCTATTTACATAGCAGTGAACTACGATCACATGGTGGTCTCAAGTCTAGCAATTGTGTAGTAGATAGCAGATTTGTTCTGAAAATTGCTGATTTTGGTCTTAGAAGTTTTCGAAGTAGCAATTCAAATGAATCCAACAGTGATGAGGATTCATATGCATACTGGAGAGGTCTGTTTGATTAAATTTAGACAATATTTTTCTTTGTTTCATCGATTAAGACATCATTTTTTTCGTAAATACGCTACTTGAGAAAGTTCGAGTAATAGAAGGTTTATGAATTTTTTTTAAGGGGTTTTTTTGATGATTAAAAATATACTATTAAATTTTTTTTACCATTAATATTTCAGCCACAATTCGTATATTTGCAAAATTACTGTTTTTCACATAGAAAAAATTAATTAATTCGTTAATTAAACAATTTTTTCAAAACTCCATAATTATGTGTATAGTATTATGATAGTAATTTGTGCAAATTTTGACATTTTTCCTTAAATTTTCACTTTTGACGTTGTGTTTAACAGAATTTTGAAAAAAGATCGTTATTCATAAATTTTTTTTTATTCATGTTTATGATGTTATTATTTAAAATATTTATGGTAGTGAAAAATTATTAATTATTACTTTATAAATAGTACATATTTGATTATCACATAAAATAAATCACTGAACTTAATTTAAGAAATCATATTATTTATACATCTTAAACGTGTTTACTATTTGATTACAGAATTTTTGTGGACTGCTCCTGAATTATTGCGCACAAGACATTCACCACCGGAAGGAACACAAAAAGGAGATGTGTATTCCTTTGCTATCATAGTCCATGAAATCGTTACTAGACAAGGACCTTTCTACTTAGGAAAAGTTGAACCTCTTTCGCCAAAAGGTAATTGTTTACTTTTCAACATATACTGCATTTAAAAATAATTTCATATTTTTTTATTAATAGTTATATTTACATTATACAACAGTTACACTTCGTAATCGCTATTTTCGTTATTGTACATTTAAGATAGTTTACATGTTTAAAATCTTCAAACTAATTAATATAGAAGATCTAGCGATAACTATGCGTCATATAATAAGTTCTATTTATAAACAAACTATATATTTAAATTGTAAAAAAAGAAAAATCATTCAAAGTCGTATTAATTTGAGAAAAATATTCTACTCCATAAGTTACTCCATCTATTGGCATAAAAATTGATCTTGATAGTCAAACTTTTACATCGCAGCGACATCTAGAGCTAAATTGTTACAAAAAGCATTTAAGTTTGATAAAGATCGTATAGAGAGCTCTTAAGTTCTGTTCTTAAAATTTGCTTCTAAATTTGAAGTGTATTTAGGATGTAAATTTTAGTACTTATTTGTGACCATCAAAAAATATTTTTAGTAAAATTAAAATTTGTTCTTTTAAAACATGAAATTCTATAAAAAGTGTTTTTGTTACTGAATAATTTTATCGTAGAATGAAATTTTAATCCAAATTAAATATTTGTCAATTGTTAATACCACATAGAATCAATTTAGTTTTAGATCAACGAGTTTAAAAATCGAGTATAACTATTGGCCATTATTCTAGTTCCCTTATCAAACACAAATTGTTTATGTAATGCGTTTCGTCGGCAATGGCGGCAATAATAATTTTATTGTCCTGTTCTTTGGCGACGTCTGAAAATCTCGCTTCTAACTTTTTACTACCTATCATATCCATAGGACAATGACAATTACGTACAAGCATAATAACACTTAATATACAATAATTAAATCACATCAAGGTCAATATGTATTCAACATTCTTATACCTCTTATTAGTATTATAATTTATGATTTAAGAAAACAACTTTTTATGAAATAATTGATTTCACAAACTATCTATAATAATTCACATTTATCAAATTCGAGCAATAAGCACAATTTATTACCGTGGAAACATTTTGAACTTCAACGTACAGATTTTATTAGTAATAAAAATAGAGTAATTAAAAATAGATTTTTTTTCGGTTTCAATTGTAGAATTTTACTATTTTTCTAAAACATTGCAAAGACAAATAATTTATCAAGGAAAAGAACGGCTAATTAAATTGTCTAAAATCTTTGCTATCTGCCTCTTTAAATCGTTTGCGGTTGTTAAAAGGCGGAAAGCCTAGTTTCTTGGTAAACGAATAGAATACTAATAGGTTTCTGGCGACGATATAGTCAATAGGGCATTCGCTTCAAAGTGGATAGGTTATAGAGAAGATGGAAGGAGACCATATGATTTATGAGCTAGACCTGTCCAAAACTGATTTGTTTGCTACTGACGCCAATTTATCATTAAATCACACTTTAAACTTCAATAACCAGAAGATTTAAGTCAAAGATTTATTTATTTTATGAGTATGGAACAGAAAAGTACTTTATTTAGGTATTTTAAGTAATGTTTGTCAGTAATACTTAAATTATAATTATTACATTACACTTATTAAGTATTATGTGTATTTCTACCACAAATGTGTACGAATTAATGAGAAATTAACTAGTTATAATCTAGCATAGGATTATAATCTAAGATTTGTAATTTACCTAATTGTTTACAGTATAATTGAGTTAGATAAAACATTGACTACACTTTCGAAATGGATAAGACTTAAATTTAAAAATGAAAAAAAAAATCATAATTATATTTGTCAAGTTTGCCAACTTGCCAGGATTTAATATTGTAAAAATTCTAAAATGCAGATTGTATTTATATTTTGTATAAATAATGGTAATATTATTTAAAAATTACTTTTTTACTAAATTAATAATCTTTAAATATATGAATAAAGTTATGAGCATTATCAGTTTTATCAATGGAAGTATCGTTGCTGCAACGAAGAGAATAGTTTCAAATTGTTTTTAGCACATATTTTCCTGTCACAAGTTCAATATTTTGTCTATTAATTATTGTCATCGATTGAGTTTCAGTAATTTTAGTTCATTGCTTGACTTTCTTGGGCGTGGTGCTGTTGTTGACAGGATACTAAAATATTTTTTTAGATTTAAAGCCAATCATATTTTACTAATAATAACTTAAAAAGAAAACTTTTGTGCGTACTATCATTAAAAATGTTGAAAGTTATTGCTTTTTGATATATTAATATGAAACTTGTAGCATACCATAAGTATGAATTTTTGAAAAATTAGTTAATTATTCAACTAATTTCTATTTATCTTGTGGTGTATTACGATACATCTATCATATATTTTGCACAGATTATTTTTGTAATCGAGAAAAAACTATTAAATTATTCATCAACAAGTAACATTTTTTTTAACGAATTTTAAAAATATTTTATTTACCTGCAAATGTCTTCAATTTTATTTTTTATTCATAATTTAACATTAGGAAAATATTTTCAATTCTAGTAAATTTAGGTAATTATTAATTAATATAGTACATATTTAATTTAATATTTAATGAAAGTCAATTAACATTATCTTTTAAGTTTACACACTTACAATAGTGTTACCGCTGTTACTACAAATACAACAAAATACAGTTATGTTGATAAAATATTAAATTTAAGCTAGAAAGTCTAATCTAGAACTTTAATATCCAATTCAAATTTATGAAATAAACTTACACCTTTGTGGACAAGTTAACTAACGCTACTTCTGAATTATCTGACTGCATAGCTAATAAAATGATTTAAATCGAAATAGTTTGACGAATATCTTATTAAAATTCTTATACTATTATAGTGAAAACAAAGTTTTTGTACCCAAATCAACGCTACAATAGCTATAGTAAATGTTTTATACTTCATAGAACATATATATTGTTATTATGATGAACTTCTTAGAAAAAAAATTTATCCGTAAATACGTTTTTCCGCAATAGTATTATTGAGAATGATTCGTAGAAAACATGTTGCTTTTTTCTCTCAGTGGAAAGAAAACAAACATTTATCATTAAAAATAATATTTCAAATATATAATATTTATTGGGTTTCTGGAAAACTTCCTGTTATGTGATATCTGTTAGTGATGTTTTTTTAAAAATTTTGTTTTTCGAAATAACAACGAAATAATGAACTTTTTTTTGTCTAATCGCGTGTATAACAACTCAGCAGTATTCATTACAGTTATTTAATTTTTATTAATTTTGCGAATGAATTTTAAGATATTCATAATATTTCGTTAAGTGAAATTTAAAAATGATTTCTTCTAAAAAATTTTTTTTTAATAATATAGACTATAATTACCCAACTCAATTTTATCAGCAGCATCATAAAAAAAACTTGCCATAAACGCCATCTATTCTATCTGAACTATACCTATTTAGATGTTTGAAATATTTTTTGTTTGTTAGTTTTATTTACCTAAGTTCTTGAAGAAGTTTAGTTATACTGAAACTAATTATTTTCATTAAACTTAACTAGCCTTCATTATGCGTGTACTATGTTCTTGTTTCACTAAATTGATGGACAATATAAATATTTATATTCATTTATTATACAATTTCCTTCCTATCATCGTGTATTTCTTAAAGTGATATATTAATACTTATAAATTTACCGTAATTATAGTTATTATTTGAAGCAATTAATCTTGTAATTGAAAAACCGGTAGTATAATATTATTATGTAGAGTTATGAACAGAACATTATAGTTAACGTTAAGCAATGTAATAAAATCGACTTTTGTTTTATTCAGGCGCGCATTTATATTAACATGTCTTGCCCAAAAAATGTACCATTAATAAAACGGCAACAAAAGAAGTAAAAGGAAACACAAAAACACATTTAACCCCAACATCTGCTCCGTAAAGTCAGTAATAAACTTTAAAAATCATCGTCGTTTTATCTTATTTGTCTTAGTAAACGATAGCTATAAAAAAAATTTAAGAATTTCGTTTTTTATTCGTGAATTTGAGCTATAGAATTCATTTAACATTTAGGTGGTGTCGTTTCTAGACATAATTGTAAAACTTAAGAGACTTAGTTTCCTATAGCAAAATTTTTGTTTCAAAACAAATTTCTAGCTGCTACCAATTTATTCCTCATTGTTCAAGTAATCTTGCCTAGAGCACTTTCAACCTCATAGGTTTTTCATCGTATTTGTTTAGCTTCTCAATTTCAAACTAAAGTAGACGTTATTTTTATTCAATTTTTGTGACTTTGTATTGATATTATGAGTGTAGTAAAATATTAGATCTTGCATAACTGCGTTATGTAACAATGGATAAATAAATAAATCGTTATGTTTTTTATAGCATTTGAACTCAATGCGACATATATATTTGTAAGACGTACATTTTTAAATCTAATTTTCTGTGCAAAAAAATCGTAAACGAGTTTGTATGAACAGTATACATGAATTTTTAGTGCTGTGTAAATTAAACGCATTCACCCGAAAAATTAGATTATTACAATAGAAATTATATAATACGAAGAGAGTAGTAGAGACGACAAATCTCCTTGAACGATCGTATGAAGTAGTGTATTTTAGGAAGTATGAACTGAAACTATCGACAAATTTACTTCAGAAGACATATTAATCACTATAATAAATTGTAATGCTTCTACACTTATAAGTAATATCACAACATTATTAATGCAATATAACTTATGTTTATAACGTGTGACCTAAAAATATTGGCGACCATTAATTTGTATATTACTGGGCATATGATAAAATAACTATAATCATTTTTATTCATTCTTATTATTTTTTAACTGTCTTAGTCAAAGTTGAAACATTACATAGTGATAACCCTTATATTTTTGCTTAAAAAATATATATACTAAGCTAATATAATATTGTAATATTATTAGTAGAATTGAAACTATGAGCTCCAAACTCTTCTTATTTATATTTTTGAACAAAATATTTCGAATTAAAATTATTTCTTTGAAATAC